CACACACACACACACACACTTTTTTCGCTGCTGCAGTCCGCACGCTCGTCCAGGCAACCTGGGCAACGGTTTGCGAATGCTCCCGCGTGCAAGAGGCTGGGAAAAGAAGAGGGCCGGCCGCGGAGGGGAGGGCGACGTGAGGAGGAGGGGAAGGCGCACTCACGCAAGAACGCGCACGGGATTTTGCCCGGCTGGCCCGCCCTTGCGGGACGGGATGAGGTGAGAACGGGCGAGCGGCTTGAAGCACTTATCCGCGGAGCAAAGGTTACCCACCGCCCACCAAACCACCCTGACCCAACCCGAAGGCTCCGCTTTGCCCTCCATTTCCAGTGGGGGGGGGGTCGGGGAACATTGAAAAAACACGCAGGGGGCCCGTACCCCCCCCCCCCACCCGAAATTTGGGCGAAATTCGGATCTTCGGGTTGGGTTGGGGTGGTCTGGTGCACCAGACCCATGGGTAGTCAGTTCCCGGGGGGGGGGGGGGGGCGCATCGACTTCCCATCGCCCGTCCATCGCCGACAGGGGCCCGACGTCCCGCCCGCCCCGTCCAGGCAAACGTGCGGGCTCACCACCGTCGGGGGCCCGTATCGCCGATCCATCGACCACGCGCCGCCGCTTCCAGGGTCGATGTGCCCCCCCCCCCCCCCCCTCGAGCTGGTTCCCCCTTTCGCTCGAAGAAGAAAAGCCACACGAACATGAACTTTTGGCGCTCCGCGCGGATTTCTTGGATCCGCGCCTGGGCCTCAGGGCCCCCGGCGGCGCCCCCGGCGCCGCCACTGGCGCGCTCCGCGCGCCAGAAAGGGGGGTCCAGCGCGAAGCGCGAATGTTTTCTTTCTTCTTCCATTCGCTCCCGCGGAGCCCTCCCCCTCCCGCAGCCGCGGTACCCAGTCTGCGTCGCCGATTCCAGGTCGATGTGTCCCCCCCCCCCCCCCCTCGGAGCTGGCTACCCCCTCTCGCTCCCGCGGAGCCCTCCCTCCCCCTCCCGCAGCCGCGGTGCCCAGTCTGCCGCAGCCCTCCGTGTACCGGACCACCATGCTTTTCTGTGCCGGCCAGCCTGTCTCGGCCCGCCCCCGCCGACACGCCACAGCCGCGCCGCGGGCCCCGGCCCGCCCCTCCCGCCATCACCCCTCCCCCCCGGGGACGTCTTCGCGGGGGCCTGGAGGACCGAAGGCCTCCGTTCTGGACCCGGGGAGGAGGAGGGGGAGGAGGCGGAGGAGGAGGAGGAGGAGGAGGAGGAGGAGAAGAGGAGGAGGGGGAGGAGGAGGGGGAGGAGGAGGAGGAGGAGGAGGAGGGGGCGGTCGAGAGGGGAGTGATGATGTAGGGGGGGGGGGGAACGTCACGGCTGAGGCCCCGACACCTCCCCGGGCCTCATGGCCCTGCTTCTGCTATACTCCTGTTCCTGCCTCGTCTGCTGCTTCTGCTGCTTCTCTTGCCTGTGCTCCTTCTCCCTCTCCCCCCCCGTGCTTCTCCCACACGTGCCCTCGGCGCCACTTGAGCCGCGCACCGCGTGCATCGGGCCACGCTTTGCGCCCGCCCCTCTTGGACGCCCCCCCCTCTCGGACGCCCCCGACTGGAGTGAAGTCGGGCACGCCCCTCTACGGGAGGAATTATCCAGACAGATAGTTGGGGGACTTTTTTTGTTTGTTTGAACAGTTGTGGGGTATTTCTAACTGTTCGCCCAGAATCCCCCTGTATGGGGCACATGCCCGACCTAAGACTGGAGGCAGAACGTCCCTTCCGGACGGAGCACGCGGAGGTGGCGCACCCGATCGCCGGACATCGGCCCCCCCGCCCGGGCACCGCCGGCACCTGGAAGCAAGAGGAGTCGTGCGCGCTGCGCCGCCCTGCCTCTTCTCTCTGGATCCCCCTCGCCGAGTGGGCCCCCCTCTTGCCGGGGGCTCTGCGGTACTCCAAAACCCCTTATTCATCGACCCCCCTAAAAGACCGGACCCCCCCCCAAATGCGACCTAATATTCCCGACCCCCCTCTTCGACGGAGCGCCTTAGTAAACCGGACCCCCTAAGGTGCAATCCAAGGAAAGGGAACTAATACACAGGACCCCCCAGTTACAAGAAGGGCGCCTTAAAAAACCGGATCCGGGGGACGATTAATAAGGAATTTGGAGTAGGTTCGCGTCGTGTCGACCGGCGGTGACCCCGCCGCCGGCGTTCAGTTTCGAACGCCGCCGGCGACACCCGATCGGCCCGTCGTTGAGCGATTCGGCCTTTCTGCAGCGGCCGGTCGGTCAAGGTTGAGCGGTTCCCGCGGTGTCAGGAACCAACACTTGGGTCGACACGACGCGAGCTTGCCGTAAATGCACACCTCCTTCAGGCTGGAGTTCTGTTGGGCATGTCCCTCTACAGGAGGAGTATTCAAAATTAGTCAGGGGACGAGGCACGCGGCGTGCCGAGGAGCGGGGCTGCCCGTGGCACGTCAGGGCCCTTGCGGACCCTCTGAAACAACGCCATGAACGCAAACTTCTGGCGCTCCGCGCGGATTTCTTGGATCCGCGCTGGCCCCCCCCCCCCCCGGCGGCGCCTCGGGCGCCGCCCCTGGCGCGCTCCGCGCGCCATGGAAGGGGGTCTGGCGCGGATCCAAGAACTCCGCGCGAACCTCCGAAAATTTATGTTTTTCTGTTTTTTGTTGTCCCTCTAGGGAAGTGAGAAGGAGGAGGCCTTCTCAGAAAGCGGCGCGGGACCTCTCAGGAGCCCCCATCGCGCCTTCTCAGAAGTTCTGAGCGTCTTCGAAGAGGGCGTAAGAAACTGTTCAGAAGGCCGGGTGACATCCGAGCCTTCTGAGAAGGCCTTCTCCTTCTCACTTGGGCTCGCCGCCGACAAAATTGATTTGTTCGTCGAGTCAACGAAAAATTCGTAGAATGCCAAGTCGATCGCCAAACAAACTAAGAGTTGTTCGTGGACCGGACAACAAAACAGCTTTTTGGGGTAGATCATTTCTGTAGCCAATCCCCTGCTCGACGCGTGCCTGCGGACGCGGCCGCAAGAAGTCCTCGCGAGAAGCCCAACCCTCCCAGGAGATCAAACACCGCTGCTAGGTCGGGCCGCCATCCCGGAAGCGAAGTGCTTCCATAAGGATGCAGAAGCGAAGCCTTCTCAATGGAGGTCGTGCCTCCGGCTCGAGGGTTTTTGATCCCCTGAGCCGAATCTCCGCCGAGTCTTATGTCGGGCATGTCCCTCTACAGGGGGAGTATTCAAAAATAGTCCAAAAATTGTCAGGGGACTTTTTTTTTTTTTTTTTTTTTTGTATTTTTGAGCATGTCTCGGGTTTTTTTGTTGTTCTTCGTCCAAAATCCGCCTGTAGGGGGACAGGCCCGACTTAAGCCGAGTCCCTGGACGCGGGGGCAGGCCCGGCGCATCCTGCTTGCAGCGGCCTCTCGACGCCCGCGGGGAGCCGCCCCTCGAAGCCCTGAGGCGCCCCTCGAGGCGAAGGGCACCTCTCGGCGCGCCGCGCCCGAGGCGGGGACGCCCCCGAGGCTCACCCCCGTCGAAGAGCGCCCGGCCTCTTGTCTCGGGTCGGGCACGCCCCCCTATATACAGGAGGAGTGTTCAAAAATGGTATCCAAAAAGATAGTCCGGGGACGATGTTGCTTCTATTACTGTTTCATGCTCTGCATCTGTTTCAACAGTTTTTGTCCTAGATCTGCCTGTAGGGGGACATGCCCGACCTATGTCTTGCCCTGCGCCCCCACTGCACGTGCCAGGAGGCACGGCGGCGGATCTATTCTGACCCCGCGACCGCGGACCACGAAGGATCGACGAGGCGAAAAGGGCACACGCAGAAACTTCCGAACGCTCGCGCGGACGTCTTGGATCGGCGCTGACCCTCAGGCGTAAGCCCCGGCCCTGGCCCCCGCACCGGCCCCGGCGCGCCAGGCATGGGGGGCCCAGCACCGATCCAGGATCTCCGCGCGCACTTTCGGACGTTGACGGTCGGGAACTTTTGGTTAGCGTGTCGCTCCGCTGGCTCTGGCCCACCGCGCTTCGGAGCGACGCGCCAGCCACGCCCCAAGCCCCCGAGGGTCCACGTCCCGAGCCTTCCCCGGCCTCGCGCGCAGCGGAGCGACGCGCTACCAGCCCGCAGGGCACAGCATGTCGCCAGCGCCGCCGCCGCGGCCTGCTATAGGCAAAAGTTCCTGGCCATACCCTTAGCTCCGACGTTGCGCAAGAATTAGAGCATCATCACAAGTCACAAGTAGAGCCCTGGAGCCCATCTTTCTGCCGCATTTTTCGAGCCGGATCGATCGGTGGACTAGTCATGGGGCCCGAAGCTGGGCGAGAAAGCCCCGTGTGAAACAGTGGCAACGCCCGGATCTCAGGGTATCCCTGGCTCCAGATCCGCCCTCCTCTGCAGGCAGGGCGGAAATTCTCCTCCCTAATTTTCAGGCTCCTTTGATGACGATTTCCGCGTTGATTTGCAGTCGCTGTTTCCGCCGGAGTGTTGCGGGAATATCAGCCCTATGTGTCTGATGCTGAGATTTCCGTTCGCACCGTTCCGACTTGTTTTTATGTCGGAAGAACGCAAAAGGACCACGGCGGGTCCGGAGTTAGTTAGGGTTGTCCATGCCCTGCATGGAGTCCGACGTTGCGAAGACATGGCAACAGCAGGAAAAATCACGACCTGGAGCCCTGGACCCCGCCTTCCTGGGCAATTTTTGTTCGAGCTGGATCGATCGGTGATGTCCCTGGGGCCCGAAGCCCGCCAGAAACCGTCCGCGGTGCGAACAACAGTTTTTCACGCCCAGGGCTTAGGGTCCCGAGCTTGGTTTTCGGGCCAACACAGGTGTCGGAATCAATTGAGCAACACTCACGCATAGCATATGGTATGAACTCCCCCCCTTCCCCAGAATGCAATGTTGGGCTCGGATCTCCCGAGTGAGTGTCGGACCAGTGATGTGCCAACTTTGAATTGCGGGGGGGAGGGGGAGTGCTGCTTAATTTTTTCCATCAACTGTGGCTCGGGCCTTCGGGGCCGTTCGGGACGATCCGGGCACCCCTGGAACGCTCTCGGCGGGGCGCAGCCGATGGAAGGCATCCCGAGGCTGGAAAGAGCCGGCGAGCAGCGACGACAGCGCCCGAGAGCCTCGAACACTTCGAACTTCGAGGGGCCTCTGTGTATGCCTGTCTGCCCTCCTCGTATAAGAGAAAAGGTGACAGGTCCAGCGCAAATCTGAGGAATCCTCGCGGACCTCCGAGGTTTTATGTTGATGCCACTTTGTGTTCCCCTATCGAAAGGAGCTCACTACAGCATCGATTTACCGCAGACTTGAATTCTTTCGTCGAAATCTACGGAAAGTCCGTAGAGTGTTCCTATGTCTACGAGCACTCGGCGCAATTTTGATAGATTCGACGGACAGCTCAACCTTGGGGTAAAGCAAAACCGTGTGGTCGACCTCGTACTCGAAGCCTGTCTTCCTCGAAAAGGAGCCCCCATGCCCTCCCCGCGGCGCGCGCCCCTCGCCGTGGCCGCCGCCCTCTGCGGCGCGCGCGCGGCCGCCGCGCTGGGCGTGCGCGACCTGCCGGGCACCGAGGCCGGCGGGGCCGCGGCGGGTGGCGCGGGGGCCCGCGCGGCCGACGGGGGCCCCTGCGACGGGTGCGAGTTCACGATCGACCTCAGGCCGCCGCCGCCGCCGTCCGAAGAAGAAGAAGAAGAAGACGAAGAAGAAGGAGAAGGAGAAGAAGGAGAAGGAGAAGAAGAAGAATCAACCGTATAAACGCATAAACTTTTTGGCGCTCCGCGCGGATTTCTTGGATCCGCGCTGGCCCCCCCCCCCCCCCCCGGCGGTGCCTCTGGCGCCGCTCCCGGCGCATATCCAAGAAATCCGCGCGGAGCGCCAAAGGTTTACATGTTTGTGTCGTTTTTTCTTGCATGGGCAGAAATCCACGCAAAAATCCGCTGCAGCTCGTCGGCTAGGGTGGCGCGCCGACCCTTGCATCCTTGCCTCCTCGGTCCATCCTTGACCACTTTCGTTGGCCGCGCCCCGCCGGAGAAGCTTCGGCATGGGCGCCCACAAGGCCCTCGCAGCTTTATCGCGCATCCTCATGCTACGGGCCGGCTGTACACGCCCTCCCCCTCCCTTGAAAGAAGCCCCAGCCCTCCCCTGAGATCCGACGCGGCGATAAAAAGGGCAGCGTCGCGAAGAATCACGGCCAGAGTCGATGTGTGAAGGCCGAGGCGATGTGTTTTTCTTCTGAGCGCACATCTTTTGAGCCGCGTCGATGTGTGGAGGGTCGCGGGGCCCGAGGCCGGGCGAAACGGCCGGCCCAGTGTGATGGAAACCGCAGCGCACGGAGCTCGCAGGGTTCGATGGGGCGCCCCTTTCGCCGCGGCCCCCTCCCGCCCGCCAGCCGCGCCAGGTGCGAGGGCATCCGCTCTTCCCGGTCGGCCCCGTTCCACCGGATCACGGACTGTCTGCTCCCGCTCTACGGCCTCATCGACCTCGCCCGCAATGCCAGCGTGCACGACGGAAGTCCGGGCCTCCCAAATGGGGCCAGAGCACGGTCAGAAATCTGGCTTGTGTATCGCGCCGACGGTTACATAGTGCAGCATCGGGCATACATCACCGTGACGAAAGTTTCGTTCAACCTGCCTTCGCCAATAGCGCATCAGCGCGGAGTAGTTCGGAGTAGAGATGCTCAAACTACTCCGCGCGTGGGCGCATCCCTCTCGGGAACTCATAGGGTTTGGATATGTTTGGAGCGGAGTAGTTTCCAATCCCCGTTTGGCGTAACAGAGTTATAAGCCTAAGCGGATCGGGAATTTCTCCGCCGAATGGCGCAGTCGTCATGTCATGTTAAGAATATCCAGAGGGACAGGAGAGATCACCACCATGGCAAATTGACGAAGCTTTTGCCCCTGCTGCATAGTGCAGCACTTGCCTTCGCCACTGGCGGCGGAAGTTGCAACTCTGCTTCGCGTTCTGTCTTTTCGCCTGGTTCGAGAGGCGAACGGCACGCGCGCGAGCCAATATGGTGTTGAGTCGGGCATGTCCCTCCACAGGGGGAACATCCAAAAATAGTGCAAAATAGTATGGGGGCGATTTTTCTAGTATGTTTCACTACGTGTGAATATGAATTGACTATTTTCATGTGTCTTCCAAAATTCGCCTGTAGGAGGGCATGCCCGACCGAAACAGAATGTCAATTCTGCGCTGACAGAACTGTTCCGGCGAAGGGCCCTGCCCCTTGCAGCTGTGCACGACGCACTTGTGAGCACCGTCGTCGGTGGAGCTCCCTGTGGGGCCACGACACGTGCGAGGGGTGCACCAAACCAGGCGTGACGCCCGCAGGTGGACGGTGCCTCTGAGGCCTTCGGCCGGGCTCCCTGTGGGGCCACGAAATGCGTGAGGAGCCTGCCGAAACGGGCGCGGCACCCACATGAGAGCGGTACCTCTGGGGTCTGCGGTGGAGCTCCCAAAGAAACGTGCGAGGGGTGTACTGAATCGGGGGTCGCGGGTTCGACATGCGAGCGCAGCCATTGGCAGCCATTGGGGCCTTCGGTGGAGTTCCCCATGGGGCCACGAGACGTGTGAGGGGTGTGCCGAATCAGGTGCGGGTACGGCATGCGAACGCAGCCACTAAGGCCTTTGGAGGAGCCCGTATAGTGCCACGAAGCGTGTGAGGGGTGTGCCGACTCGTGGGCGGGGGCGCCATGCGAACGCCACTACTGGGGCCTTTGGTGGAGCTCCGTTTTGGGGCCACGAGACGTGCGAGGGGTGTGACGGTGTGCTGATTCGGGGGCGGGGGCGCCATGCGAACGCAGCCATTGGGGCTTTCGGTGGAGCTCCCTATGGGGCCCGAATCGGGGGCAAGAACGGCAAGCGTGTGAGGGGTGTTCCGGGCCAGGGGCGGTTACGCCATGCGAACGCAGCCTTGCGGCCTTCGGAGGAGGTCCCCACATGGACGGCAGCGTGTGAGGGGTGTGCCGAATCGGGGGCGGGTCCGCCGTGCGAACGCAGCCACTGTGGTCTTCGGTGGAGCTCCGTTTGGGGCGATGAGACGTGTGAGGTGTGTGCCAATTCGGGTGCGGATACGCCATGCAAGCGGCGCCATTGGGGCCTTCGTCGGAGCGTAGAGCTCCCCGTGGGGCCACGAGACGTGTGAGAGGTGTGCCCAGACAAAGAACTGCGGAGTGCAGAGGCAGGCATGGTAGGAATGGGAGGAGGAAGAGGAAGAGGAAGGAGGAAGGAGGAGGACGCGGGGCGCTGTCTTTTCAAAACGAGGACTCAACACCACAGGATGGTTGGGAAAAAGGTGTCGCGCCGCCGGTTCTGGCGCTTCGGTTCGGCCAGGTCTTGCTAGAAGTGGTCCCGGCCCAAGGGCTCGCGGTCCATTCAGGGCTTTCCGACGTTTTCGTTGGACCTCAGCGTTCTTCCAGCTTCGGGGTGCGTTCCAGCAGCTGCGCCTCGCCGAGGGCGTTCAGGAGGTGCGAGGATCGCCTCGAACGAGGCTGCCGGAGGTTCCAGGCATGAGCCAAAAGCCACAGGGACGAGTCCCGAGAGCCTGAGGCAGGACGACGCGCTATCAGCCTGTGTCCTTGGCCGCCGCCGCGACACGCCAAGCTAAAGTCGGACGCGCTCCTCTACAGGAGGAATCTTCAGAAACAGGATTTAAATAGTCAGGGAGCGATTTTTTTGACTATTGAAAATATGGTTGTACAATTTTTGTCTTTCCTCCCAAATCCGCCTGTAGGAGGACATGCCCGACCTGACGCTAAGCAAAAGTTCCGACCGTAGACGGGGTCGGACAATAGTGCCGCGTCGCCCATGCATCACTCGGCGCGACCCAGAGCCTGATTCTCTCCATCCCGACGTTGTCAGAAGCATCGGCGATGAGGCGCGATCATCCGACCCCATCTGCCCTGGCCCCCGTTTAGGAAACTTCCAGGAAAGAGAGTTTGCGCCGTCACATGGCTGGACGCCTGGGAGGGGCTCAACCTGAACCCTTTCCTGGTGGATCTCACTGGCGTTCAGTGGCACAGCATTATCAACGAGCGTGAGGCCTGCGGGAAGAGGTTGCCTTATCACGCGATCAACCGGACGTATCAATCGATGGCCACCCATGACTACTTGAACACATTCGGGAGCGACCCCCTGATGGTGAAGTCCTATCACATCAATTACGGGGGGAACCTGAGAGTGCTGCAGGCCGACGTCAGCAGGGTGGTGAACCATGACGAGCAGCTGCCGAGCATCGTGGTGCTGCAGCGGAACACCGGCACCCGCAGGTTCCGCCCCGTTGCCCTGTTAGAGATCATCGACAGGCTCGGCCCCGTCGGCCTGCCGGTGGAACAGTACACTGGGAGGGAGAAGGCCATGGACACCATCAGGCTGTTCAGCTCGGCGAAGGGCGTGCTCGGTTACCACGGCGCTGCGTGGGCGAACCTGTACTTCTCGAGCGAGACCACCTGCAACGTGCAGGTGTCCACGTTCTACGACCTGGAGAGCACGAAGCCGTGGCGCACCGCCATGGAATCTGGCATCCGGAATCCGAGAGCGCTGTGGTTCTTTTACCTGCTGCCCCTCAACATGCTTCTGGATGCGAACCACGTTCACCACGATGCGTATCTCGCTCGTCAGGAAAAGGACCACTTCATCAAGGACCTGGACTGGGTCCCCCTCCGCGACGTCGACATCGCGGAGATCACCGACAACATGGTGCAGTGCCTTCTCGACCCCGCCGCATACGAGAAGGGGCACGAGGACCACGCCTCCAAGCAGTGGACACACGGCTGGGAGCCCGCACAGGCCGCATCGAGAGAGCCGATGAGCGGCAGGCTGACCTCCACCGGCAGGGACCCGTGCTCGGGCTGCGACGTGACCGTGGACCTGCGCTGCGAGGGCTACAAGAAGAGCCGCGGCACCTACTACGGCAGCGTGGCCAACTGTCTCCTGCCCGCGTACGAGATGCTGCAGGTCGCGCGCGAGGCGGCCAGCAACAGCAGCGCACAGGTTCAGAGGAGGAGAAGACACCGTTACAGCGGGTGG